TGGCGTGCCCGGCGGGGCGGGCAGCGAGGCCGGCAGCGGGGGGTACTCCAGCTGACTGCCGTTAGCCACTGCCTGCTCCAGGAGATTGGAAGCAGATCCCGGTAGCGCCGGAGCTGAGAACTCGGCCTGGCTCAGCACGGTGGCGGAAGGCGCTGCAGCAGGAACCTGTGCCACCGCTGGAGCGGCTCCGATGGGGCTGTCACATACACCTGCTGGCAGGGGAAGCTGCGGAGCAGCTACCGCACCGGGTGGGTCGGTCACCACAGAGCTCACTTGCTGATCATCCAGCTGCTCCAGGTCTGGAAAGCACACAGACAGCAGGTTACCCTTCTCAGGAGCCACACAGAACGAAAGCAAGTCACTGCCAAACATCTGCAGCCATAACCACACCTCGCCATAACCTGGCAGTGCTTCCTGCCAGAAAGCAACTGTTAACACAAGTCAAATCAGAACCTAAAATTACACATCATACAAAAATATGTCACTGAAAGGACATTGCTTATTGCAACAGCAGTGACTAGAACTTCAGCTGCCAGAATTAAGATACTGAGACTATCCTGAAACTCAGATAAACATTCCAAATTTGGTTCAATACCAGAGACACACTTAAAATGCATGACTTAACAAAATTCACCATTTTCTTCCTCTGACTAAATGAAATGAAACAATCACAACCTAGTCAGGTGAGAATAGAAGAGACACAGCAACTTCAGAGAAGAAAACATTTTCTATGACGTTTGTCTGTACCTGGACCTTCAGACTGCTGTGTGCTCTGAGGTACCGGCGGAGAATATTCTGGTGCATCAGTAGGAGGGTTTTCCACAACAGGACATATAATAAACCACCTTTTTCCAGTATGCAAAACTAGAGATGAAGAGAAATAGAAAGTAAACACAATAGTTTCCATTCATTCCAGATCATCTGTCAAAACCTACCCTTAATTTCCATGTTTAGAAAGAAAATCAAAACTTCCACTGTATTAGTCAAGATTAAACACACAGCTCCTAATTTGACTCTTGTCCCTCTGGAAGGCAGACACTGATGCCTCCTGCTTCTGCCACATATATTAAGTGACTTGAAAATTTATTTTCAGATGTTCATACTTTTGGAAGGGTAATAGTTATGTACATTAAAATTTTATTAATGTTACTGTGCACAGTTTTCTCTCAATGAAAGATTTGTTGATTTTGTAAAGTTTATCCAGCTTAACTGTTCCATGTTGGAAGTTTTCTAGCTAATATTTCCTTCCACATCTTATCTCAAAGCATGGCATATGTGAATGGCAAACCAGAACTACACACACTTTCACTAGTAGAAATATGTATGCTATGTTAAAAAAGGTGTATTGAGAAAATTATGAGACATTTACAGTCAAAAATAAACCAGATCTTTTGAGCAGAAAGTCTAGTTTAGAGAATTACCCTATTCCTGCACTTGTCAAAGAAATTCGAAATTGTCCTTCTTCCCCTGTAAGCATGGAGCAAGTACACAGCCCCACATGCAGTAACAATAATTTTGGAAGCAAAGGTTCCTTCAGCAGTGGTTTCATTTTCCCCCCAGCATACACTTACAGGGAGAATCAAGAGCCAATTCCCTTCCTGTTCCATTTGTCTGTAAAACCCATAAGACAAAGTTGTGTTCAGAAGGCCAAGATCCCCCCTGTAATACCAAAGTAGTCGAAAACCTACGGGTTAGAAATTTAAATTAAATTACCAATGCAAGCATAACCTTTAGCTTTCTCCTGCAAATGTAGTTGTTGTTGTAGAAAGAGTATGCTTGCCCATACCTTGTTGACTGTTCCACCATCGATTATCCACGTGCGTAATTCAGGGCTTCCCTAAAAATCCCCAGATGTTAGATTCATCCAGGTCAGCCCTGCAATCTTCCAACCACTGTTGTACCTGTATTTCTAGATATATTTCCAGCCACCAGTAATTGAGGGATTTCTTTCTGAATCTAGCAAAATTCTGCATAAACTCATCACCACCTTGGAGCTTGAGATTAAGTTAGTATTAGAAAGAAATTCTTTACTGTGCGGGTTGTGAGGTAGTGGCCCAGGTTGCCCAGGGAAGCTGTGGATGCCCCATCCCTGGAGGGGTTCAAGGCCAGGCTGGATGAGGCTTTGGGCAACCTGGGCTAGCAGGAGGTGTCCCTGCCCATGGCCGGGGGTGGAACTGGATGATCTCTAAGGTCCTTTCCAACCCAAACCCTTCTGTGATTCTACGATTCAAAGGCACATTTACCGTTCTGTTGATACACAGGTGTCTTCATTTGAGACTGCCGCTTCTCCTGTCAAAAAAACAAAACCATAACAATAGAAGAACTAGCTGTCTTGTATCCATGCCAGAGGAGCATCATTCTAAGCAGCATTCACTGTAAGCCTTAATGGAGTAAAAACTTTTTTTTTTAGCTAAGAAACATTTATTTTTAAACACAGGATGCGCAGAACTAGTTTACACTATGGGAATCAAACTAGAAAACCTTATTTAACATCTCTTACCTCATTAATTTCCAGCCTATCTATATCTTGTTGAGGACTTGTTCCCTGATCAGAACTTCGTTCTCCTTCTGTATCTTCACTGAGCATATCTTCTGCTTTATCAATAATATCTTTCATTTGTTCAATAAATGTCTCTTTTTCACTCTGCAATATGAATTCATTCTCTACCTACAAGGCCACATCAAAATAAAGAGGAAATCAGGAATGTTTTGATTAATGCCCCACTCCACAGCTACCAGAAAGTTTGGTGAACGAGCACACATGAGCATAAGTTGGCTGAAGCAACTTCGTGAATCAAGAGACCACGGGCAGCCGCATCCCCAAGTCTTACCATGTAAGTAGCAATTTCCTCCGGCGCATCACCATCCAAATCAAACTTAAAAGTCACCATTTTGTGGTTGTGTGTTTCAAGCTGGCACTCCACCATCTTGTCTCCCGTGTTACAAACCTGCATGCAAAGATTAACAACAGTTATTTCTGGCACAGCTAAAGGAAGCCTTAAGTTACCCTCAGAGAGGCTGTACTTGCGTTTAATATGGTGAGTTTTGGTCTGCTGGACTTCTCCTGGCGTGAACGAGCACGTGTAGATTTCTTATGTTTCTTTGAAGACTTTCCTTCTTGTTTTCCACTTCCTATTGCTCCTTCAAAGCTGTCACTCATCTCTTTACCCGAAGCAACATCCGGACTCATGTAGCTTTGTAAGAGAAAGGAAGAAAAAACCCCAAATAAAACCACTGTCACACACGATGGGATTATGCATAGGTAAGATACACAACAGAGGCAGCAAAAAAAAGCGCACTTCTGCGCTCTTTTGGCCCAAGCTGAGCCCACTACTGAAAGATGCTCAGTACCTGAAGGTTTTATGTGAAGTCAGGCATGTTCTCTGGCTATCACACCTCATCAGAACCAATCTATTAATGTTTCTGCCAATACCATAGGGAAAGTGTCATCACTCTTAATGTATTGCTACATCCCCCTCATCCCTTCACTTCAGGGAATCCTATAGTCTCTCTCTGAGCAGCACAAGTTACTGTTTTTCTAAGGTCTGGTTTTCTCAACTCCTACCTGTCCGCACTCTGAGCAGAAGGTCTAAACAGGATCAATTTGTTTGTTGGAGATGAAGGAAACAAGTGAGAAGTCAGTACAGCCTCCCATAAGAGACTGCCTCTCCTCTCTCAGCACTTCTCCAAAACCAGAAAGAGGGTTTTACGCCACAATATCCCAGATGACCAGCTAGCAACAGTGTATTATTTTTAGCAGCCAAAACAGTAGCTGCTAGCAACCTTATTGCAATATGACATGTAGAGAAAGCATCAACACACAAGCAATTTGCAGGAAATTTTCAGAGGTTCATAAAAACCACATCAGGAAGGCCTTGTAAGGCCATCTGGCCTATTTATTACCCCAAGGTATGATCAGCTCTCTAAACCAGTCCTTGCAGAGGTTTGTGTAAACTGATTTTACAAAGCTCCTATGAGATTTCATAACCTTCCTGGGCAATTTCTGCCTGTGTTCATTTAGCCATACGGGCATAAATCTAACCTATGGATCCCTGGCCTAAATTCAAGACCTCTGCTTCTTGCTCTATTCTAGTTGCACAGAGCAGCTTATTTCTACTCCCTTTGTAGCCACCTTGGACGTGTAACTCATTCGTTAGGAAAGAGAACACATTTTGCACATAGGATATACTCTAGATCACATCTTTGCTGCAATTGCCAGCCATTGGATTCACGTGCCGTTACCCTCCGCTCTACAAAAGTGCAACCCAACTCCAGCACCACGTTACCTATGCGCCTGGCAAAGAGAGACCCCCTCTACGACTACCAGACGCGAGCTGACACAGACTCTGTGCTGCTGCAGCCACGACAGTCAGCTTCTCAAACACAGTTGGGGAACAGGCAAATCAGAATTCCATAGATGACTGAGAATTTGACATGCCTTCCCATGACAGATTAGATGGACAAAACAAACTCATTTTGGGTAACTTATTTATAGCCAGAACTAATCTACAGTCATGAAAAATTAGATTTCACTTTCCACACAGTATTTAAAAGCAGCAAATTCTTGGGAAAAAAAGGGGCCATTTTAAGGTTGTGGGGGTGCATTGACTTGTGTTCAGGATAACTTTTTAGTGGGGTAGAATGAAAAGAGTAAGAGAGAAGTGTCTTCAAAGTTTGTAAAAACTTAACTCATCTTTGTCTATTCAGCCAAATAGAAAAGGGTCACTAAAATCCTAACCCCAAAGCTTTATAATTCAATAGGGATGAAGCTGGTTGCTGGCTCCTGCAACAGGCAAGGCATTCAGCTGCTTACAAACACACACCGCTATCTACCTTATCCATATCCAAACACTGCAACACCTGGCTTACTGTGGGTGACAGGGCAGGAGCTGCAGCATGGGAGCAGCAGCTGCCTGGGGAGGGGAGTCCTGCCACCGAAGCAGCCGTTGCTGCCTCCAGTCAGCTGTGAGCCTTCCTCTCCACGGCTCTTCCTCACTGCTTCCCCCAAACCTTGCTGCTTCCCAGTACAACAGGCAGATGAGGACTGGCAAAAATTGAAATTTGCTGCATTTCTGAGGAGTGCTGAGCTGGCTCTGGCGGTTATCGTTAGTTCTGTAATGAGCATTGTTAGGCTGGAGTGTGAGCTCATGCGTTGCAAAACCATTAGAATGGGCTTTGGCCGCGTGTTCTAACGCTTGTTGTAAGGATACCTTCAAGTGGCTCACCACGCAACTCTCACCAAATACACCGGCCCCTGTAACACGCCGAGGGAATGATCATTACAGAAGGTGACACAGGCAAACCCAGCCCAAAGAGGTGATGAACTGTCTACCCAATTATACCCGCGTGGCATGTCTTTATACACATCCAACAGCATCCAAACCAGGGATGGTACCACTTCAGGTATCTCATCAAAAAGAGGTTACGTGCTGAAAGGAAAGCTGTTGGACACCCAGCAAGGCTAGGATGCAGCACCCAAACTAAAGAATTAAAAGAACCGTCGGAGCCAAAACAGGCACACTGCACATCTGTAGCTTTCTCCCTAGGCTTGCACCCTTCCCTCTTCTCCTGGTCAGCTCCTGCTGCTGTTCTCTCAGCCAAGGGAAAGGCCAGGCATTTGGCTCAGCCTTGAAAAGAGAGAGAGGAAAAACAGCCTCGAGAAATAAAACATTTCTTATGCCAAAGAGATTATAATGATACCTTTCACAGCTCTGTGACAGAGTTTGAAGTTTGTCCTGTATTGCCTGCTCCTAAAACGTAAGAAAAAGTCATTTAAGTAAATGCATTATATTGGCAGATGAAAAACACCCTTATGAAAACTTTGCTGTTGAGCCACCAGTAATCCTAAACCGTTCTGCTTAATCAATTATTGAAACTCAGAAAAAAAAATGGCCCATTGTACCCTCCCAACATTACAACTACTTTTTAAGACATTGCCACTAACCTGCCGGTCCCCTTCTGCTGTCTCTAAAGCAGAAGAGGTGGTGAAAGAAACAAAAGAGATCTCACCACAACAGAAAAAACTGATTGCAGGACAAATCCACATCAGCACCTACTTTTTTTTGGTTTTGAATGGATATAAAGTACAAGCTGAATTGCTTCATTGCTTTGTATAGTTTCCTGAAATATGTTCAGTATTTTCATTGTATTTGGCTCATTGGGAAGATTTCTGGGGAACTTGCAAATAACAGTTGAAAATTCACCATTTAAAATCACTGCTCTCATATCATGCTCGCTACACAACAGAAATTTTCACTAAAAGCTTCCCTCCTCACTGCTTGCAATGCTAGGAGAGACATGGGTAGCGTGACTTTTGCATCGGGTAGATGTGTTTTCACAGAATTTGCGATGCCGATGCTCCCGGCCCTACAGCAACAAACTTACGGTGTATGCACACGGACACACACACCTGTGCGTATAGCTATGTACAGACACACACCCCAGATATATTCATAAATATATATAATTTCATATATATTTATATATATAGTGATGAACATAATGTCTATAGAATCCTTCTACAGAGACAGCTACAAACAAGCCCCCTGCCTGCCAGCACTCCATCTGAATACCAAAGCAGTTGGTGGACTGGGGTTCAGAGCCCAGCGGTTAACCAGTGCCCCCCACTCACTGCTTCTAACGCCACACATACACCACGCTGCAGCTTCCATACAACCGCAAAATCAATGAAGAGTGAGAACACAGACATAATGTATCCAGATTTTAGTAATGCACTCAATCAAGTGCCTTACAAAATCTCATTTGCCTGATCAGTTCAGATGGGTTTGGATGCGAGTACCGCCACGCATCGGAGCAAAAGACAAGTGATAAAAGAGTTATGGCAGAGTAGCAACAGAAAGTGGTGTTTCAAATATATACAAAGATATGAAACTTTTCTTACACCCAAGAAAACCTTAGCAACATATGTCACAAAATCAGCATGGGGAGCATGTTGATCAATTTGACCATTCTACAATGTTAGTTTGACTTCTTAAATTGAATGAGAGAAGGGAGTTAATTTACAGATGAAATGGGAGAAAGGAGTTAGCAAAACAGCAGGTAAACGTTCCTAGGGATATGATAAAGTGACAGGACAGACACATGCCTCAGTGGGCAGGGATTTCTCAGGTAATATAGGACAACTTGTATCCCCCATATCACTCTGCTCAATAACAATGAAGGTTATTCCTGTTTCCAGGATCTCTAATGGGAGTGACCCTACATTGAAGGCTGGAGCTTTGGCATCAGCATTGAACCTGACATGAGCTGTGCATACAGAAAAAAGGCACTCGGGTGAGAAACACCTTGCGTACAGGATGCACCTGACACAGCCAGGCTTTACTGAGGGATTCTGCAAGTGGGGCACTACAGACTGGTTCTACCCTTTCTGCTGGATCTAACCTAGAGGACAGAGACTCACCGGGAAACATCCTGCATCACAGCATGAATATTGATTTGACAGGAATTAGACTGCCATAAAGAGGACAGACAAAATGGGGAACTAGAATCTAGTTTTACTGTCAGCAGCATCCTTACTGAACATCTTCTGGAAGAGGAGTTAAGGTGTACCTCAAATGAAACTCGTGGGCTGCACCGTGTAGTCAAGGCATGCGGCAAGTGCATGGAAGCATGGGTTAAAAAAATAATATTTAGTTTGAAAAGATGGAAACTGTTACTTTGGGAGGAAACAGCTCTGAACAGTGAGCCTCAAGAGCAGCAATTCTGAAAGAAGAATTGCTGAAGGACATTTCCATTCAGAAGTGAAGAACAAATTAGACTTATTTGCTGAAACCTGATACAAATGCCAAAGCCTTTGTTTTGCTTTGCTTATGGGTATCTATTACAGAGTTGAAGAGAAGGAAACGTCCTATGGCATTCTCTCAAGACTGAAGGTTTAACAAGTGGAAAGAAAAGTCAAAATAGCAGAGAGGAGGAGCTGACAACTTTATAAAGAAAAACAATAAAATGTATCTTTCTTATATGACCACTGAGAATTGGGAATGCCTAAGAATATCTGAAGAAATAAAAATCCCAAGGCTAGACTGGGATTCGGGCAATACAGGAGGATACAATGCTAAATGAAATGGGAATAAGGCTCAAGCTGAGGAGCATGAGGAGCTTTTACATAGCGAAGAATCAGATTATGAAATAGTTTCTCAAGGCAAATGATGTTTGGTTGCACAAGTGCTTGAGACATTTAAAACAAGACTGGACAAAACATGGATGAAACACTACAGAACAGCTTCTTACTGACCCACAGCACTTACAGAAAGTAATTTCTAGCTCTGTGTTTGTGCTCAGCTACAAAGAGGTACTCAGTCCTGCTGCCTCATTAATTCCAGATGTTTCACAAGGTACAACATGCGGTTTCCAGCTTCATTTGAAATAGCCCATTTTTTGCTGACCCAGAGTCGCTAGCATCTAGGACAAGCTGCTCTACACGGTGAGCAGGGATAATCTCCCTTGTGAAATAAGCCTATTATTTCACAAAGGAGTAAGAAAGAAGGTTAGGGGTGAAGCTGGTGAGTTACTTCCGAGGAAAAGGCTCTACCTCTTGAGATGGCTCTGTGACTGCCTGGCCAGTGGAGCAGGGAGCCGGGAGCTGCTGACCCAGCGGCTGGGAAAGATCGGGCTGGAGCGGCAACAGACCCGCAGGCTGAAGAGGCAGACAGTGATCTACGGGGACGGGCGGACTAGCCGTAGCAAGGCTGCCACAAATCTGGGAAATGCCTTCCGGAGCGATGCGGGGAGGCAACAGGTCAGGCTGCAACTGCAAAGGCGGTGACATGACTAGCGAAGGTTGTACGGGCAGCACGGGCACCTGGGCTCCAGCTTCCAGAGCATACTGAGCGTGGCCAGGCATCTGCTGTAACACAACACACAGCCATTAAAACAAATCTCCGCTTAGCGCGCCTGTGACTTACATGACAAGGTACTAAACCTGCTGGAGTTAATGGAAAAAGGATTATAATTCTACAGTGAGACTGCATTTGTGTGGTCTCTGCTTGGAAAGGTAACTATTTAAGTGTTTAAACTTGCTTTGAAGTGACCGAAAAAATAACCCAAGGATTCTTCCTATATAATTACGACAATGCGTGCATTGCTCAGGCACTCTTTAATTTGTGGAAACAAAGCCATATTTTGCTAAGAAATTAGAATCTTCAATTATGAATTCATTGTCCTGAACAGTTCACTCTGCTTTCAATGAGCATACCACAATGTCCATGCAGAGAAAACTATACTCTATCCATAATCTAAACTAGGATTTAAAAAAACCCAAACAAATAAAACAAAAAACCAAAAACCAAAACTCTTTTCTATGTAGAACCAGCAGCTGGTATAGACCACACAATTAACTCTTTTTTAGTGACTACACACCAGTGGCTTACGGAAGACATTGTTTCCCATTTGGGTCAAACATTTAAGACACAACTTAACTCTTGACACGGTGAGCACCAAGGCCCCCATCCTGCCAATGCCTCCTTGTGTTACGCGCACAGAGGAAGTTTCATTTATCTCAGTGGATTTCTTCAGTGCATTAAAATAACTTGGGTGCGTAAGCGCTTTGTGGGAACTGGACAATGCGACTGGATGCCAACTACCTTAGAGACTATGTTGTTATTCTGCATAACAGCTCTTTGCAGTTGTACATTTAAGAACAGAACATTCTCCTTTTAGGTACATAATTTATTTTTCCACAGGGACTGAGCTTGTGGGAAGAGGAAAAAGGACAAAAAAGGAAAATAGGGAAGAAAAAAGGCTTTTTAGTACTAGGTAAAACTCCGCCTAATTTTTACCTTTTTGAAGTATCAGCACCTCAAGATTTAGACTATTTGGAGAATATATTAAAAAAATAATCAAGACTCAGATGAGAACTAGGCCACACAGCTTCATTTCTGCATGCTCTCTGCCGATTCTGGATACGAGCTGAAATTATTTCTCCAGGTTTTAATGTGGATAAAAATAAAGACGCAGTGTGCTCCACAACACATAACAGTTACACAACTGCAAAGTGGAGGTAGTTAAGACAGCAACTGTGGTGTATATTGCAGAAGAGCAGGGAATTTTTTTTTTTTTAGATCTTCTATAGCTAGAATAATTCACTAAATGTTTCACTGTATAATTTACCTGGGCAAAACTAAATTCAGAGGTGCTAGACACCAACTGCCAAAACAACAGTGCACTGGAAAGCCTTTATTTACAGAAATACCTCTCCATTAAAAGTACTTTAAAACAATGTATTTTTGAATATTCCTTCGCACTTGTCCATTTTGTTTGCTATAGCTATTTTTTTATCCTAAAAAAATTACTATGCAATTCTCCCATCCATATTTGATAGGCAATGACTGTGTCAGGACTGTTTGGGAATATCAGTTCTCCGGCTTTGGTGTTTGCCATGCACAACAGGCTCGCTTCCATTCCCTCCAAAGCCATCGGAAACTCTACGGCTAACAAGCTCAGCAGGAATGTTGCCTACATTTTCACAAACAATATTTCTGTACCAAATATACGGCTGAAGAGAGAAATATAAAAATGATGTACTACTTTGAAGATGCCATGATATGGCAGGTTGAAATGGGATGTTATGAACTTTAATCAATGTTATGGCAAAGTGATGGAGTAGAAGGCAGAATTTTCAAGAATGTTATTATTAACAGATTGAGTGCTCTCTCCTGCTTGGGTCAGACTGCATTTCATGTTGTCATATCACAGATGTGCTGATAGAAGTATTTACAGACTCTGCCAACAAGCCCTGAACCAGTTCTCTCGTAAATAGTGCTGATCTTAGAAACTCCATTTTGTGCTTCAAGGGGGAAAGGGTCTGGAGCAGGAATTCATTCTTGTCTGACACACTCTTCCATGCAGGTTTCTGGAGCTGTTACTGAATGGCCATTTCCCTCTACTGCTGGTTTTTTTTGTTTTCTATACCAAACCAACCCCAGCTTCCTGCCAGCTCGCCCGTACCTTGCCATGAGCACACACCAGCCTACGCATCGGAGTAAAGGTGTCGGCAAGGCTGTGCGGCTGCTCAGCCTCTGCTCCTGCCTCGGGAGAATGACAGCTCCTGCTCCTTTCATATTTGAGATGGGAGGGAATTCAAAAAGTGCTCATCTGCTGGCTTTCCAAAGCCCATTAGAGTATTCCCTGTATCCCCTCGATATTCACCTGTCCCTGGATTCACACCTCTACGGCTCCACCTGACTTCACAGCTCTGCCAACGACCTCAAAGAGTCAACACAATATCTTAGGAGCAAGGCAAAACACCTCCCCACGGCGTGTTTACAGCGGAGTGAGCCCCGGGAACGCCTGCGTTTAGCAACCACCCTAGAGTCCAGGACGGACACGGCCCCCCGCCCCGTGGATTACCTGGTGACCAGCCCCAGGCGCAGACAGAGTCTGTTCGGAAGGATGAATTATGCTGGGCTGAAGTGACTGAGGAGGTGGAGGTTGCTGCGGCTGGGATACTGGTTGCGTGCTCTGCGTGTGATGGGGAGAGGGCGCCTCGCTGGGAATGACTGGCTGGAAGGTGGTCTGGTACATCTGCTGCTGGGAGAGCTGGGGCACCCCGTGGTGCGGCGGCAGCGCTGGCACTCCCGGCGGGGCCACAGCAAGCAATGGGATCGTAGCAGCCGACATATTTGGCACTATTGTTTGGCAGGGCAAGACCAAAGAAGCCACGGTTGTGTGAGGAAGGTTGACTGCCTGCATGGGGAGGGCGGGGGAGTTGGGTGCCATGGGCAGAGTAGGGTTCATGGGGAGGCTGGGCAAAATCACGGCCGGAGCAAAATACTGCGAAGGAGCAGGTATGGGGGGCACGTTTGCAGCAGGTATGTCAGAGAGGTTTGGAGGAAGGCTGTCAAGTCCTGCCAGAGGAGTAATTGCAGGAATGACAGGAAACTGAGGAATCTGAAAAAAATATAATATCACATAAATTGCAAGTGCTTTCACTGATGGTACAAAGTAGTTTCATTTGCCATACAAGTCTGTAAAAACCACCTGTGCCATGATGATAATTATGTCTGTCTGTTAATCACTTCCATTCATTTCCCGAGGTTTATAAACAGCAATAAAAAATGATTTATGCTTAAATCATTACTAAAAGAGAAAGAAGTTCATTTCAGGGGGCATCTTTCTACCTTAGAAGCTTAAAACTATTTCTAACACTAGCTTGAAGCCTTCAAGCAAGATACTAATTAAAAGCTGCTTTCATTTTAACAAAAATGAGAAGGAATCAGACCAGCCAAAATGCACAACTCTTTCATGCAAAATTCAGTAAGACAATTTAAAACCCTTGTCTTCAATCAGGTTGGCTGCAGCCCAGGCAGCATGGAGGATCCCATTAAAAAGGTTTTTACAATCAAAACCTCCCAGTGATGCAGCAGACTGTGACTACCCTGTGATCACAGAGGCAGCTTGCTTCTTTCCTTTGGCGCAAGCTGCTTCACATCACGGTGGCCGTCACTAGCAAACACACTAATAGCACCAGCGAACCCTTCCAGGCCAAGGAAAGGGTCTGTCCCAGCTACCGAAAACAGAAACGGGGCTGAGAGCGAGGGAGGGGGGTGAGTGAGTGGTGGGGGAAGTGGGGAAGTCAGGATCTCAGAAATAGAAAAAAAAAATGGGCAACTTCTCATGCTCTTAAGCCTGGGATGGGGAAGAGAGGGAAAGGTGTGGGGAAAAAGAAAAAAAGCAGTTATTGCAATGTTGTAACTGCCATGAACCAGAATCTCTAGGCATGACACAGGATTACTCATAAAGGAGATTTCTGCTTCACCAAACAAAACCAAATCGTAAAGAAAAATACAGGAACTGTGAAAAAGCTATATTCTTATGGACTAATTAAATTGGCATGCATTTCAAATAGCCACACAAAAACCGCAAATCATGTTAATCACTAGCTAGAAAGCCTTACTCAAACGGATGCATTCGCACACAGTTTGCAAAGATATTACCTGGGAAGGGGCCACCGGCGGAAGCTGCGGTACAGTCGAAATCTGAAGGGGTTTGAGCGGGGTACTGCTGGCTGCCACCTGGGAGGTCTGGGGCTGGTACTGGGGCAATAGATGGGTTGCAGGCTGGATGGGGCAAACAGGCTGGCTGGCAAGCACCTGCTGCAGAGAAGCTTGCTGTGATATGGGTTGCTGCTAGGAAAGAGAAGAAGAACAAAAGAATGTTATAGCCTGTACGTTACTAAAGAACCAGTTCCCTGGACACAGCCTCCCGTTTCTCTCTCCAGTTTGAGCCACACATGCAGAACCGTCACTAGGAGTAGGGATGGGTCACAGAAGAGAAGGACTCTAACTTCAACACTGTACAAGAGCCTGTGTTTAAAACACTTTTAAATGCAAGATACATTACCTGAAAAGACAAGTTCTAACTATCTTGGAAAGGTTATTTGTAATGACTCAGACTCTTTATATCCCAGAGATTGTTCTAGTTGGCCCTGTAAAATCCCCACCTACAAACTTCAAAGTTCCCTACTATGCAGATTATCCCCAGCTACTCTTGGCACTCAAACGCTGACTACATAACATAGCAGGCACCGAAATATACAGAACTTATTATCTGAGACATGAATAAAACACTGTTAATTATAGTAAAAGCTGGATCCCAGTTATTTCTGAGGTGCTGTAGGAACAATGTGGCAGCCAAAAAAAGCAGTTTTACCCTTCCAGGGAAAACAGTGCTCCACTGGCCTGCCAGATTTTATCATGTCAAACAGAAATAAAAAGCTGCATTAAAGCTGAAAATAATCAGTAACAAACTTTCACATTTGCCATATGCTACCAGTATCTCCTTCATTTCCTTTTTTTAATTAAAGTCTTCTGTTTCAGAAGCATGGCACCAAGCAGCAAGTTGGCTTCTGGGTTGACCTACTTGGGACTATGGGATGGATTGCTTCACCACGGCTCTGCAGCACATACAACCTACAGCCATGCCCAACGGTGAAAGGGTAACTTGGAAATGACTAGCTGAGCATTATCATCTTTGCTCTTTGCCATTTCTACTGTAAATCAGTATCCTAATATTTTGCTCTGCACTTTTTTAGTGGCAGGATTCTTCAACCAGTTTTTAGGTATTAATACAAAAAAACTGTAGAAGATGCATCAAGGAAGCAAGATGCCATCCACCCTTAAACGGCTGGAACTCAACCACAACTGGGAAGTTTCCAGTACAAGGATCAGTGAACAAAAGAGTATTTGGGGACTGGTATCGAGTGTCCAGGGCTGAATGCACCACATGCCGCAAGCCGTGCAAGACATGCTGGAGACGGCATTGAGTAACTCTGCACAGCACCCGTTCAGCGCCTGCACCGCTGATGAGTCCTGCCTGAGTATTCATCTTGCCACATTAAAGAAAAAAAACGGCTCTGTATTTCAGTTTCTGCCATTCCAGGTTTTGGGAAAACAGTGGCATTTACCCAAATAAAATCCCAAACTCAAGGGAATGGCAGCACTGATGCAGACACATGGCTCAGCAGGAGCTGGCCTGGCACGGGCAATGAGACAGAGCCCACCCGGCTTTTCCCACAGCCACACGGGAAGCTCCTGCCAGACCCCACCTGAGCCGAGCAGCCACATGCACACAGTGCTGGGCTGGAGCCAATAAGCCCTGCCAGCATCCAAACCAGCCCAGGTATCGCAGCACCCCTGGCTGGGCTAACCTGCAGCTCGGACAGGCTGCCCACTGAGGATGGAGCGCACCAACACAGGCTGCTCAAACCACCTTCGACTCGAGAGGAGTGTGTTAAAAGCAGAAAAATTGTGCTCATGGAACTAAGTAGCTTCATAAAGCCTAAATTTCAAATTCAACTCATGTTTTACAAAATGCTGGTGAATTGGATGAGGCATAGGGAAGGGGAAATATCCAGATGAATTATGCTCACTTTGACTTATTATAAACTTAACATTATAAATGCACAGACACCCAGATTAGAAGAAAAAAAATAACAAGGAGATGCAACATTAATCCCATCTGTCTGTGCCATCAGTGCATATTACAAAGATCAAGATGTTTCATTCTGTTAGGCAGAGGAATTTTCTCACCCTGATTTCCCATTCTTTTGTTGCCCTGCCCCACTGTTCACTTACAAAAGCCTGCAGGTCTCCACTGCCCTGAGCATCGTGCCCAGAGACTGGGAACACCAGAGCTACTTCTGTCTCTGAGGCACACCGGTGCTCTGGGAATTTCTGCACAGAAACTTTATCATTTTACCTATTTCTGTAACAATAGCACTGTAAAAAGTCAGTCTTTTATTGGGCTTCCTGGCAAGATCAAAAAACAAACTAGTTACTAAATCCTTTTACTATCAGGGATAGAATAAATTCAAGAGCCAGCAATGCTGTAAGGAAAGGGCGTGTGACAGAAATTCAGAAAGTTGGGCAAGTATCCTATTCCAAACCAGCATTTACTCATGGGGGAAAATAAACAACAGATTTTGAACTGCCAGCATAAAGCTCCAGAGGCCACTAGAGAGATCTGTGCCACTGGTGAGGTCCTAAATTTGCATAAGTGTGAAATTTTTGGCTGAGAGAACCATGAGAATATCCCTGCCCATTAGAAAAAAACCTGATATATGAAAAAATTCCACATAAACGTATGTTTTTCAAGGAGACTAAATTACACTGTTCCTATATTGATGCTTTCAGAAGAACAGGGCATGTCAAAAGAAAAAATAAAAGGAACCTGTGAGATAAATGCTGATAACTCAAAAGGTATGCAGAGGTACGATACATACCGGCCACAAAGCATATAGACACTCCCCAGCCCCATCAACACTTTCTGATGAAGGAAGCCAAGCATTTGGTAGGATCGCACCAATGAGCCACAAATGACGTTGTACAGCTCTGTGGCTGCGTTCCTCCTCACCTCTGCACAAGGAGGAGACCACAGCCTTCGCAGCCACCCCTCGGCTGCTTGAAAGAGGCTTTTTGTAAATACCTTCATGGAACATGGGTTTTGGGGGGAATTTGGTAATTCAAAATGCACAAAAAATTACTATTTGTGCTGACACAGATTCTTCTCTTGGAAGACAAAGCTACTGTCTGGATGCTTATGCTGAACTACGTTTAACACGTGTGCACAAGTCACCAAGGATTTCAAGACAATTGACACCAGGCAAGAGAGTCTCTTTCTAACCTTTTAGAAGAATAGAATGATAGAATGGTTTGGGTTGGAAGGGACCTTAAAGCCCATCGAGTCCCACCCCCTGCCATGGGCAGGGACACCTCCCACCAGCCCAGGTTGCCCAAAGCCTCATCCAGCCTGGCCTTGAACCCCTCCAGGGATGGGGCATCCACAGCTTCTCTGGGCAGCCTGGGCCACTGCCTCACCACCCGCACAGGAAAACATTTCTTCCTCAGATCTCATCTCAATCTCCCCTCTTTCAGCTTCAAACTGTTACCCCTCGTCCTGTCCCTGTCCTCATTCTATTGTCCTAATAACAACATAAAATCAAATACTACTCAAGTTTTAAGGACCAAGACAATCCATTGAAATCAATGCAAGGCTTCAAGCCGATGCTGTTATGCCATGACAGAAGAGAATTCCTAAACTCCATGAAGACGTTTCAGGGCATATACAACAACTGTCCTCAATTACTGTCAATCCCTTAAACCCAACACACTTTGCCCCACCACTAAGTCTCTTGAGCGGCAGTTCAACAGCTTCAAACCCTTGGTTGGCTTGGAGCAGGGCATGGATAAGGAATTGGACAAGAAAAGCAGTTTTTGGCAGTAGCTGAGCTCTCACCTGTTGGCTGGCCAGCCCCGGCTGCGCCTGCCCCAGCGGCAGGGAGGCGACAGTTGTGGGCTGGATGACTGGGAATGGCAGTGCCGGCTCCTGGTAGTGCTGGGGCCGCTGGGACACCACTGTGGGCGCAGGCGGAATGGCGGGGAGACCAGTCTGCGGGAGGGAGTGCACGGCTTTAGAAGAGAGTCAGCCTTGGGTCAAGAGTCTCTACAACTGTTCATCATCAAGAATATTATTGCAAGGGAATAGTCAATAGTACCCAATACTTGGTTCAAAACAGAGGGAGAAAAAACACAGGAAGAATTATCTCCAAGGAACAGAGTTACTTAATCTGAACAAATTATGAAATTTGGAATTTGGCAAATTCCAAATAAGACAACCAAATGGCATTGCATTTCTTTCTGGAAGTAAGCATGCAGAGCAGTAAAACCACTGAAAGCATATACACCGACTAGGACTACCCCAACAGCAACAAGCCATTGACAGGGTGAAATGGAGATTTATCATCATAAAGATTTTTATAATTTCATAAAGAATCTTCATCTTCCTAAAAAGCAGCTAATTTACTTGACATGGATGCCAAGAAAACAAATAGAGAAATGAGAAACAAATTAAAACCACAGTGGAAGTGAAAACAAAACAATTTAAAAGAAATTCAGATAAGGTTTGTAATAACAGCAGTTCTCTAAAGTAGAAAGTAGATAAATTAAAAATAAACAGTATGTCAAACTGAGGCTCATAAGCCTAAAAAATAACCTACAACAGCTCCAGTTATGTGCCTGTTATCTTGGTAAATAATCTCCCAGATAAATACAGTGATTTTCTTTTTTTCTTGAAAAATTGAAGGCTTTGAGTCAGCCTTTTGTTTCCTGTTATTTGTTGAGATTTTCAAACCTTGGAACTTTTCACCTAGGTTACCACAGGAGGGGAAAAAAATATGGAAACCCCATCAGAAAATAAAAGGCTACAAGAAATACTTCGCTCGTGAATAAAGGTTATCTTGCCAAACCCTCAATCACAGAAAAAGTAATGCATTTGGGTTAAAATTACTGAAACCTATCAATGGAAAGAATAAGCCTGCTCTAAAAGAGTATGCGGACAGCTCAATTTCATAGAAAAATTCTGCTCAGGATGTGCATTTTGAGTGTTATATTTAACGTTGCAAAGGTAGTGCTTCAGGTGGACAAGAAACGAGGACAGATGCATCCCAGCAGAGGTTTGCACCTAGGAAAGGCCGTTTTCACAGTGGAGGTAGCTGGATGTTTTTTTTTCCTTCAAGTAAACAGAATCACGTTTCAATGCATTCACAAAATTGAGCTCATCATTTCTTGCAGCCATTTTGGAAAATATAAGGTAAAACCAGGGAAAATGATGCACTTCCCAAAAAATCTGGTTCAAGCAGGAAAAAAACATTGGTCCTGGATTTTATTTTTTCTTCGCTTAAGTCAAATAGGATGAAACAAAGAAAAAAAAAATAACCTACCACATCATTACTGTCATTTTTACCAAGCAGGTTGCTTCTACCGCTCGGGGCAGCTGCAGTCGCCAGCCTGCTCTCGCCAGCAGCGTTTTGCCAGCGCAAACCTTACGACAGTGCCGGGACAGCCCAGGCATGCCGGCTCCTCCACCACGGGAGGATTCCAAAGGCAGAATGTTTTCTGCAACTCCTGCAGAACTCGTGGGAGAAGAACAGGTCTTTGGGCTCATTGTGTGTTGTACAGCTTGATGGAACAGAGGCAGGTCTGAACTTCTGCCCTGTGGCCTGCTGGTTTGGGGGAGAGGTTGAGACACTGAGCTTTCTGGGAGTCCGCTACATGGGGAGTGAGCATTTCCAGCAGGCATCAAGACTTCTGACATGTTTTTGGTCTTGGCCAGACTGAAACGAACAGGCCTGGCATGTCTGATGAGGAACCACCAGCTCCGTCAGGTGCGCAGAGGTCCCCAAGGCCTCCGAGGCGATGGGCCTGCTGCCTCTTCTCTAGTCTGCAGATAGGTGTTCTCCTCTCCTGGTTCTTGGGAAAGGGACGTTGCATTTGGAGTCAAAGCCACAACAGGGTCACTGCGGTGGCCAAACGCAGCCTGGAGGAAGGCTGGGACTGGAACACAGCGTTGCCACAGCTTCTGAAGGACACAACACGCTCACGTTGTCTCTCTCACTGGAAGCACCTGATGATTTATGTTCGCTCACATATGTTTGTTCTTGCACCAGTAATTTCACTAATTGCTTTTGGTCAAGGTCATAACAGCACAGAAAAGGAAGCAAGGGTGAATGTCTGACTGGGCTACCAGTGCCTGATTTTGGAGCCTCAGTAATGGACATACATCACCGTCTCTGTGCAAAATTAAATCCAAACCCAGCGCCAGAAAGGCAGTGACTGGGTGCGTGACCTTTGTCACAACGAGCAGAAACATCAGACCCAAGAAGCTCTTGAGCAAACGAAGGAACAATAACGTGTGGCTATACTGACAGTGAACAAAACCAAACCAAAGAGTTCTCAAATACATGCAGGAGGTTAAAACTAATCACTGCAAAGCTACTAACGTAGTTGAGTGGGAACAGATTGATAAGAAGCTTTTTCACTGAAAGTACGACAGCTGCCAGTGAATCATGTCTTCAGAACAGCAAATACAGCTAGACAGACAGTAGTACCACACGCACATTTCAGACGTGCTAGCAACGTATTACTAAGCAAGCCACCATCAGCAGAACTGGGTGAGGAATACATTAAGCAAGCCTTGGCACCCACATCTACCGAAAGCAAGAGTATAGAAGAGCCTCTAAGTATGATCTAGGAGAGAAAATTATTTCACAAAGCTTTACACTTACTCCTGAGGGCTGCTGGTAGTGGCCCAGCTGCTGCAGGCCATGGGGCACCGCCTGGCTCTCGCTCAGAGGGGGGCTGTAGACGCGCTGGATAGCAGGAGGTACCGCATCCGGCAGCGATGAGTAGATGACACTTTGCTGGCTGCTTTGAGAGTCTGAATAAACAGTGGACCCCTGGCCACTGTCAAATGTGCTGTCGGCTGAAAGAACAAATTTTTTTAAATAAAAGCTCAACAACTCCAAACATTCAAGTAATGATTTTAGAGCAAGGTCAACACTGGTTTACATGATCAGCATTTTTACTATCCTAGCCCTTTCCATTCTATAAATAAATTATACAACACAAATGTTATTTTCTACACAAGGCACATGCTGCTTCTCTTAAGCCAAAAATCATCCCCGAGGATTTCTGTGCATGATATTTTAGGCATATTGATATTTCCTTTAAAGGGCATAAGGTTGACATTAAGAATTGCAGACATTTATACATTTTGTAGGATGAAAGGAAAGGAAGCCCCAATTGTAACATTCATAGCAGATCACAGAGCCTTTTAGAGTAAGATCTCCAAGGGATGCACTGACTTTAACACCTTTTTTATTAGTAGCACTGAAAATTACAAAATTCTTATCCTGTGTGCTTTATTAGTTCAGCAAATCATACCTTACTTGAGTATACAGCAATATATACGAAGAACAGGTAAACAAAATACTTTGTAGGTTTGCAGTGATTTAGGAGTACCATTCAGAGCTCCATCGGAGTTTCTCATGCAGAGTGTTTGCCCAGACAACCTGCACAACTGATGGCTACAGATACTGGGCAAGCATCCTACCTTCTGTCCAATGGAAATACATTTTTTAACTTTACCACTGAGTATTACGGATTTAAAAATATCTTTTAATGAATTTTGAAGCCTGTAATGTACAGGTGCCCAGTTCTTCTTGAGCATAAGCTACTGTTTTATGCATTTGAGAAATGCAATAAGAAACTTGAGATCAGAGCTAAGTATCCAAAAGACAAATAGCTCATAACAGAGATTTAAAACTCAAAATTGAAAGAAAACTGTAACAGTTACTAAAAAAGGCTTACATTACAGCCAACTCTAAAGGCTATTTATTTTTCCAACACTTTCCATCTTCTCTGTTCTTCCATATTCCAAATCAGGTTTAACTTATTTGTCTCTTAAATAACAAATTATTTTTTAATAGAATCAGTGATTACATTTCTCCTCAGTAGTCCTAAACTCGTCTCCCAACTGCTTTTTTTTGCAAAATCAAACTCCCTTCTATATTTATTCAGCTCACGTCTAAAAGGAGACGACATGGCCCTCCTCTGAGGCGGCAGGGATTTCTGCTGCATCCACACTTCCATTTTATTACAAACAATTATTTAAGACTTCAAAGGAAAAAGAGCATGGCAGTAGAGTGCTAAAGTAAAAGCTGTGAGTCAATCTCAGATTTTTATAGAACAACGTGCATTACAGGCATTTAGTTATTAATTTACACTTTCACATTTGACCTCAGGTTATTATATGAATTGGTAGAAAAGTAACTTATAGAGGTCTTCGGCCTAAAATCACTGAGAAAACGTTCAAAGACATTTGACAGTGAATCATGAGGGGGAGTTGGAAATAAACTGGGGGATTTATATTTAGTATAAAATTCTGACAACTCATGTCCAGCAAAACCATGGGAAGCCAAAGTAGCCTCATTGTACCATTGGAAACAAAGAGTCATAATTACAGTGTTTCTCAAAGGAATTACACGGCATGAAATAAGTATATGGTAAAAAAATGAAATTAGATCAATTTAGCTTCAGAAAATAAGTTCTGTAAATACTGCAATATTCAGAGAGTTATACAAATATGGCCATTTCTCCTGTCTTGTAAAGGTTTGTTTTCTTGTGGAGGCATGCTCAGTTATTTTAGTATTCAAAGCAGACCTGTGTATAGCAATTTATACAATACTTGAATTAAAGCAGCAGCTGTCTCTGCTAAAGATAATTCATCTTTAATTCAAATACACTTACATAAAAATCCAGAACAGTAAAACAGAAACATTATGATAATAGTTTAGTAGCAAAATACAAACATCAGATTTTATCAGAAAAACTGGCTAGAAAAAAACCCAAGAAGTTCTCTCATAAAATTTCAAATCTGCCAAGCTAAAAATATCTGGCAACATTTCCTTCAAGATGTTTAGAAGTATAAACAGATTAAGATTTCAACACCAGATCTTGACTGGGTAACAAAGGTTGATTTTAGGGGACAAAGACAGGGACAAGTTACATCAGGAAAACAATGCCACTACTTCCTCATGCCTTGCTGTTTGCTGATAAGCCCGACGCTCAGAAAAAAACCCCAAAGAAACAACTATCTCTGCAAATAAAGCCAGGTAGTTTCTTATTCAGAGATAGGCCAAAACCAGTGCTTGGGATTAAAACAGGAGATCATAGAATCATTAAGGTTGGAAAAGACCTCAAGGATCATCAAGTTCAACTGTCAACCCAACACCACCCAACCCACTAACCCATGTCCCGAAGCACCACATCCACACGTTTCTTGACCCCCTCCAGGGATGGTGACCCCACCACTGCCCTGGGCAGCCTGTTCCAATGCCTCATCACTCTTGCAGTGAAGAAATTTTTTCTAATATCCAGCCTAAACCTCCCCTCGTGCAACTTGAGGCCGTCTCCTCTCAGCCTCCTCTTCTCTAGACTAAACACCCCCAGCTCCCTCAGCCGCTCCTCGTCAGACCTGTGCTCCAGACCCTTCCCCAGCTTCGATGCCCTTCTCTGGACCTGTAAATCCATCTTTCTTGAAATAGCTCAGTGGTCACTCTTGGGCCAGTCCCCAGCTAATGTAAGGAGTTGGCAGATGAGGCTGCTCAGAGCTACCAGGGTCCAGATGAACGAGAGCAACCACCTACAAGGAAGATCAAACAAGACCCTTGCTTCATGCTCAGGCCAAAATAGGGAGCCTAGGGGAAAAGACAGAGCACCTGCATCATGATATAAGGACCCTGATAACAATTACATTGTCAGCCCGCAAGGTCTGGTGCTCCCAACCCACGTCACCAAACCACAGTTGACATTTCCCACAAAATGGGGAGATCTCAAATTACATCATGTAACATTCAGAGATGGATTTTTTCTCCTGCTGTAGACCTTTGCACAGTTTCACAAAAAAACTTCACGCAAGCCATCAAGAGTAACTCGCAAAACACAAGGAACTGCAGCCATTTGTTTTCAGTGAGGTCTGCTTTTGAACAAACATCTCCACATTGCCAACATCATTTGAAAAAAGCCACCAACCACTTGACCAGTTTGATGCCAACTCAACTTCTGCAGTCTCTGGAATTGTGTTTTGCACAAGCTCAGTGTTGGTCCCACCACCTGGCACAGAAAACAGCAGGACTCCTTGCTGTGCTATTTACAAATATATTACGTTTTCTGCATTTATGGCTACCAAAGGAGGAGCTATCACTGTATAACACAGTTTTTCTTGAAAACTTATCGTTATGCATCTGAGACGGTTGTGTTCTGTGAGCTACTGTGCAAAAACACGCCCAGCAGCTCACCTCACTGCTGAGCTCAGGTTCTGGTTGAGTTTTACCCTTGGCCATTCATCCCCATGTGCACACAAAACCAACACAACACTTACATGCAACAGAGGTGACGCTGGTGGGCAGGTTTTGCTGAAAGGGATGCTGGTCTGCCTCGGGCTCCTCCGACTCCGACAGGACATGATGACCGGTGTGAGAAAGGTAGGTGACCTGGACCTGCTGCGCATGCAGCATCTTCGACTTCTCCAGACACTCAGAGTCCCGACGTTCCTCTGACTGCATCCTAGGCCAAATTCGCTCTCTTCTCCATAGTATTAATGCTACTCTGTCACGTATTGACTTCGCGACTATCTTGAGATCGTTTTCATGAAAAAATCCAGAGTCAATCTACAGAGGAGGCACAAACTTAGCAAGATCATGTGTGCACGGGTGTGCATGCACACGTGTACACACACACATATTATTCAAATCTCTTCCTAACAGAGAAAACATCAGTTTGAAATAACATGAATTACATATTTATTCCTCACAGGAACAGCAGCTCAAGAGCTTGATGGAGTTTTTTTTAATAAAACTTCTCTCCTTAATGCATTTTGTAACAGCAATATGTAATTTCTAAGACCTGAATATATATCTGGTCAATTTAACATCCATTGAGAAGATGAGACAAGTTTAACTGCCGTTGGGTTCCCTTTTGCTTTTTGGAAAGGCTAGCAGAATAGTCAAAAGAGGAAAAAAAAGTTATTTGAAAAAAGCTCTTTGAAGAATGCAACTGGAAGAAACCATACTACCCCTAAATCAGAATTTATTGCCTTAACCTTTCCAGTATACAGTTTCCCAAATTGCTGTGCTTGATATTGCATCAAGTCATGAAGGAAAAGATATGAGCAGAATTTTGTCTCAAATTAACTTCTCTTAAAAGGTAAAGTGAGTCAGTATTGATTGACTTTTATAAAGAAAAAGCCTGTCATTGAGTCGAATGCAGACTGTTCACATTTGACTGAAGAGAGGACCAGGCTTTCCCAGAATTCAGCTGCTCAACAGATAAAATGGAAATTCACCTTTGTGCTATTTGGCTGCATAGTCTCCAACAGCAGAGGGTATGAATTTTAGTTTAAATAATGACCTACCAGAGATTTGTCTGCTTTCCCT